AGAAAATTTACTTTAAGTGCGCAAAGTATAGATATATATATTAAAAAAAAATTTGTGCAAATTTATATTATATATTTATAAAATAAAATTAGCCATTTTATTAGTTTTTCCCTATTTAGGCTGTGATCTCCTTACATAAAGCTAATTTTATATCAACTCAAATCATCCATGCATTACATTTTTATAGCTTTTTATATATTATTGAAATGTAAAGTTTGTTTTTTCTAAATATTCTACTCAGCATCGTGCTGTAAATTCTGGTAAATATTTAAATTATACAAATTTAATTTCAGCATTTGCATATTAGCGTAATATAATATATAATTTAACTGAGGCAGAGTTTTTAATATAATAAATAATACAATAAAAAAAACCATAAAAAATAATTAATTAATTAGCTTGACGTCAGACAAATAATAAAAAATAAATTAAAAAATCTGTAGAAATATGAGTTGGATATCTAATCGCAATATAATTTTTAAAAAATTTCTAGAAATTTATATATGAATACTCAAAGACTAAAAATTTTTACATAGAAATTATTTTTAAAATATTTTATTTTTCATTATATATTTTCTAAATATTTCTTTATTTATAATAACTTTGCTAAAATTGAAAAAAAAATCTGTTCTTTAATATATGAATTTTCAAAAACTAAACTTTTTTAACTAAAATGAATTTTAAATAAATTTTTTTTTTTAATTTTTTAAGCTTTAAAATCTAAATCTGCAGAGACTCCAAACTTTCTTTGTCTTAAATAAATTTTTAAATATTTTTGAACATTTTTAATTCACAATTTAAGTTTTGTTGTTAATTCTTAACTCACCAATTGCAGCACATGCATTTTGTAGTTTTTATATATTTTTTTTTGGTTCACTCTATTTATCACTTCCACAAATGTTTATTTTCGTAGTCAGGCACGTGCGGAGAGAATTTATAGAGCTGGGCTCTCGAATCCTTGGCGCGATTTCGAACAGGTGATTTGGATTTGTGTATTGCTGGCAACAGAATTGAAAACACGAATGTGCTGCTGAGCTCTGTGGCACGGGTATTTATTTGAATTCGTTGAAACTAGAACCCAAACCGAAACCGAACTCGAAAAACTCACACAGAGAGACGCACTGAAGCGCGATATGGAGCTAGCGGGTGGCGGAGGCTATGCTCTATGTAGATCCAAATAAACTCTGGTATTCGTGGTTGAGGTGTTGGCATTTCGTTGGAGCTGGGGCTGTGGCTGTGGCTGTGGCTGTGGCTGTAGCTGTGACTGTGACTGTGGTTGTGGCGCCGTTTTGTCACTTCACCTGCAACACCTTGGGTGTGGGCCAAAAGCCTGCCTGAATGGGAATCAACACAGAGTCGGAATTGTGAATCAGTTTTCGTGGTTTTCATGGTCAGTTTGGCATTCGAAGAATGACAAGAGGATGTTTTGTTGCGCACCCACCTACCTGTCATTATTATTTTTTGGCGGCCAATTAAAACACCTCGATTTTTTCTCGCATTGCGTAATGGTCAAGCGAATTCCTTCCCAGTCTCTGACTCACAATAACTGGATAAATCTTGGATTAAAGGCGTGAAATTAGCATTTGCTAATTGCGCTAGATTCAAATACATTTTTCGGCTCTTACATAACCCAAGACCGTGACCATGAAAAGGGTTTAAGCATAAAGCTTAACAAGACCGCCGGATGGAATCACTTAATAAATGTAGTAGATCTACAGATGACACAGCTGCATGCTCTTCTAAACATAAATAATGAAGAAGTGGATGAATGAGAATTGCATAGAAGGGTGATGTTGAAGTGTGTTATATTTAAGTGGGAAAGAGTTGAGCTTATCAGGAACTAAGGAATGAGTATAAGGAGATGGGATAATAGACGGAAGAGAAGAGATAGAAGAAGAAATGAGAAGTGAACAGAGAAAAGAAGAGAAGTTAGAATGAGAGAAGAAGAGAGATTAAAGAAAAGAGACAGAGGAAAAAAGACAAAAAAGAAGAGAAACTAAAAGGCAAGTAGTGAAATTAGAAAAGAAGTTAATATAGGATAAGAGTAATGAAAGTAGGGAGAACAAATTTAAAAAAAATAATAAATAACACCATGAAGAAGTAGACAAGTGGATGAACATAAAAATATCAAATTTATGCATATAATTTAATTTAAATTAATTAGTTTTTATTTTTCCATCTTTCAAATTTCATTTATCCAAAATAGTTTAAGATCATAGAAAAAATAATATAAAGATATGCCTAATTCAGCTTATGAAAATCGCATAGAAGAGCGGCAAAAATCTAGAAAATAATCTACACAAAATAACTCTAGTTCTATATGAAAGCTCTACAAACAGTTTGCGAAAGTTGTAATGCTCTCGGCTAGAGCAGCGTACTACGAGCATAGTAAAAATATCATTTGAACTTTACGCTAGAGTGAAATAAAAGCCCACAGCTGCTCCTGCGGCTGTTTTTCTTTTTTTTCGGCAGCGTCATCTTCTTCTTCTGCTACGTCGTCTGCATGTGCACTGAACCCCAAATGGAGGTCGTTGGCATTCACTCAACTCAGCTCGCATAAGTCCGCACATCTATAAAATTTACAACGGCGACAAGTTTAATTAAACGATTTAATTTTGTTTATCTAATGCGAGCAGACGCAGTTTATATATGTATGTATATATACACACACATATATATATATATATATATAGGTTCACTATATGATACAATATGCTAAATATGTTTGGTTTGTGTTTCTCGTTTGTTTGTCTTTGTTGTTGTTTAAGATTGCATCTAGTTCGCTTCATGGAAGAACAATTTGTCATACGACTACAGAGTAAAGTTAATTTTAGTTTTAGTTAATTATCTAGGCGTCTAAGAAACAGATTTAACAATTATGCTAGTTCAACGATTGGCTAAATACAAGTTATTGTCACATTGTGGCTAACTAGATTGTAAGCAGTGGCCTGTATTCCAAAAAGATATCACGAGTGGGCCATTGCAGCGGCAATCTCGTCCTGAAAGGCCAGAAAGCCCAGCTGGGCATGAGATGCCTCATTCAATGCGCGCGAACGTATGCAGGCGCGATACTGATCCGCACTAAGTGAACCGGTGCAAATCTGTAAGACAAAAAAAGGAGCGTCAATCAGAATACGTTTGGCCAGAGCTACTCTGTTTGGCTTACCTTGGTGTGCCAGCGATGAAAGATGCCGGGATCTGTTGCCCTTACGATCTTAATTTTTGATCTGACATATTTTCGATAGAGCATCACATCCTCCCCACCCCAGCCAACGATTTCCTCGTCAAAGCCGCGTATTTGCAGGAAATCCGAGCGATATTGGCAGGTCATGCCATAGCCAAAGTCACGCCAGAAGCCAGTATCCCTGGAGATGACCAGCTGCTCCTCCTCGCTGGGCAGAATTTTGCCCTGCAGCGTATAGACAACATGTGGATTGTAGAGGCTAAATACCACGGGATAGTAAACCTAAGAATGGAAAATAGTTAGTCAAGTCGCTTTGCTTTATATTGCCAACTACCTTCTTGCCCGGCGCCGTATTCCAGCGACAACGCTCCAGAAATTTGGCTGTAAAGACAATATCCACATCGCACATGAAGAGCAAAGCATCTTGCATTGCCTTTGCTGCCTGCGGCGGAATGTGCTCGGCGCCCAGTCGTAAGGCTTTGGCTGTAAGGGCAATTATTAGTAGGTTATCTAAGACAGACTCTAGCTGCCACTCACCTCTACTGAATGTTTCATTCAAGGCAACGAGCTGCACACGTTTAGCACCTCCTGCAATTAGCTGGGCTTCCTTAAGTCCCGCCTCGCCAAAGTAGACGACAACCAGGTGCAGGCGCTGATCAGCCAGTTTGTTTAGCCTCTGTACAAAACTGCGAAAGCTGCGCAGTCGTCCAGAGAGTGGCAGGATTACATGTATGATGGGACTGGCAGCCACCTCCGAGAGCTGCACCGTCTGCAGTGGAGCAAAGGGTCGCATGATTAGTGCTTTGCGCACGACATTTGTCTGATGCTTGATGCTCTGGAAATACAACTCATACTGGCTGCCCGTTGTGGGCTCCGTACGGTAAATGCCCTCGACAAAGTCATCCAGCGTGTAGCGGCCCAGTTCGGTGGCTGCGAGTCCTTTGGCTCTGGCACGCGCCGTATGATTGCGATTTAAACTCTCGAGCGCCTTGTTAACAGCCTCCAGGAGATCGCGACGCCTGTAGCCAATGGGCTTCTCCACGACACGCTTGCCCAGACCCAGATCAATAGGATAGACGCGCGTGAAGGTGAAGTGATTAAACGGAATCATCTCGTATTCATTATTGAGGGGCAGCCCGTGAAGTATCTCAGCGGCGCCCACCTGTTTGCGTATGTAGCTGCTGCAGTCGTAGTGATGCGTCAGCGAGGCAATCGTGGTGTCTGACTGGTGCAGATGCGAGTTACTATTGTTGTTGTTGCTGTTGGAGGAGGCTGTGGCGGAGGAGGGGGAGTAGCCACTGCTCTGCAAGGGCAACCGGACCGGTAGTCCATTGTTGCTGCGATTGCTCTGCACGAGCACAAGCTGAGCACGTAGCGTGAGTACCTCGTGCTTGAGACGCTCGATTTCCGCATCCCGAGAGCTCAGTGCATAAGTATAGCCATTTGTCTCGCTGGGATTGGGAGGCGAATCTTTATCCGTTTGTGAGGTCAGCTCATCGAAGCCCCATTTCGTTAGAATGACAATCGAAATAACAGTTACTAGCGCAAAAAGCAACAGGAGTCGCACTAGTAACCTGGAAGCCAGCGAGTTATGCATTTTCCATGTTACATTTGGCAATTATTGCTGAAAAATTATTCATTTTTAAATTATTCGCCATTTAAAAAGTTACAGCGTTGCCGGACTGTCAAATAGTGCGCAAAAATAAGTCTGCGGCGAGCGCAGTTTTATTAACAGCGCTGCTATTCATAGGCTGTAAACGCTGCTCAAATATGCGTCTGCGTTGAACGCAATGTTAATTACATCTCTGTTAGGCTACCAGCAACAAGCACCATTTTTTCATTAACAGCCTGTAAAAATTGTCAAGCAAAACACAACGTTGCCTTACAGATTTTTTTATTAATCAAAATCAAAAGAAAATTAAAAAACCACACATAAAACATTGAAACGGAACAGAAACAACAAAATAAACGCACAACAAGCATATTCCAGGTAAGTGTATTTTTGGCTAAATAGGGCGAGGCCGACAACGCAATGTAAATATTGTGCGTTGGCAGGCGGCTGCGAAAAATTCGACGAGCAACAAGTTTTTTTTGGTGCTGCTAGAGCTGGCACTGCTGTCACTGTTTGCTGCGTCACTGTGAAGAGTCGCGGTTCAGTGGGTCAGCTTAGTTGGTTTGTGGAAGCAACCAAGTCAAATTAACGATTGATGCGCTAATGACAATGGCAATTATTTCCACTATTAACAGCTACACTTCTTATTGTGAACTTTACACAGTGCGCAGTGTGACCAAGCAGCGTTGTACCCATTGCCGCTCATCACTATTTTTGTGCTAGTTCAAGTTCGAAAATTGTATGATTCATAAATGGACAAAATGTTGCATAGATAAGATGTACTTCTACATGTCAATGTAGTTTTTTTGTTGTGTATATTGTTACGAAGTGCGTGTGTGTGTTTAACTTTGTTAATCGCGAATTTTAAGTGTGTGCAGCTCTTGCTTTGCGTATGTGTGTGTGTGCATGCTTATGAGTGATTGCCTGTGCTTGTGTGTGTGTGTGTGTCTGTGCTCACCGCAATTAATTGATTCGTATCTTGAGAATCAAGCGAAATTCTCAGTGCCCCTTAAAATTAATTGGCTGTATAGATATTATATATAGGTATTTCCCTAGTACCTTCAATATGTGCTCCAGCTAGATCGCCTTTACTATATATTTCATCTAAGCCTATCGAACAGTTAGACCTTACATTTAGAACAGACTCTTTCCATATTGTTTTGTATATAATATAAACCAATATTTATTTCCGGTCTCAAATTTGTGATTCAGCTTACTTTGCGATAACTGCAATGTTATTATTATATTTAGCAATATGTATTTAGATAAAAAGCCTTGGCCATACCCTAGCCTAATCTGTGTCACTTTCTCTTGTTCATTCTCCTAATTTTGATTAATGTTGTTCCCCAAAACTGACTCAGACTTAAGAAATCTAATTTAGAATGACTAGCATTGAAAGTAGTTTCTAAACATGCCCTAAATGCCAGGGTATATAGTAGCCAATCAATCAAATTGCCTTTAAAACAAAGAACTTTTTGTTTAATATTTGTTCTTTGCTTATTTCGCAGCGCAGAAAACACACTTAAACAAGCATAAAGATGGAGAATAACGAGGCGCCCGCACCTTCCGGTTCGAACAACAATGAGTAAGTAAAACTGCCAAAAGCTGGATCCAGAGCTAGACGAGCCGCTGCATGGACAATTGAAATAGAAATTGAAAAGCGCAACGCACAAATGCAAGCCCCATATAGTCGAATCGACTTCTGATGTCATAGTATCCAATTATAGTGAATGCATTCCAATCGAATGTTGGGTGCTGGCATTCGTGCGTTGCACTAAGTCGCAGTATTGCTTCCCTGCCGCCACATATATAATATTATACAGTTTTCCCATACTTCCGCCGCCGCCAAATGCCTCGTCATCCAACTACAACTACAACAACGACTCGGCCAACAGCAACAACAATGCGGCACAGAAACGCCTGCAGCAGACACAGGCCAAAGTGGACGAAGTGGTGGGCATAATGCGCGTCAATGTCGAGAAGGTGCTCGAACGTGATCAGAAATTATCGGAGCTGGGCGAGCGAGCCGATCAGCTGGAACAGGGCGCCTCACAGTTCGAACAGCAGGCATGCAAACTAAAGCGCAAGCAATGGTGGGCCAACATGAAGATGATGATCATTCTGGGCGTCATTGCCGTCGTCTTGCTCATCATCATAATAGGTAAGACTTATCGATCAGAAGTGATCAAAGCGCTCGTGCTTATGCTTCAATCTTCAGCTAACTAATTGGCTTGTAATGCAACGCTATGCTTAAGTGTATATAATATGTACTTTGATTATTAAGTTAACTGGAAAAGGTTTAATGCGCTTGCCTACACTTTGCTTAACATAGTTTTAAGTAGTATACTAAGTACACACACACACACACACACAAACACGTAATTGTTAACAACTTTCACACAACACATTGCTTAATAATTTTGTATATATTCAGACATAATTGTATAATGGCGAGAAGTAGAGTTCTCTGACAGCAAACTGCACATATTTATACGGCTAATCAGTATTACTAAGTCCATGTATATGTATTGTATACACAGTCTTGATAAGGAGTTGCTTTGTCTCCATGCAAGCTACGTAGTCTGTCAGTCAGGCAGCTTGAAAATACTTCGTTTCTCTCCAGTTTTATATTTCTATCTAGATATTTTAAAATATAATATTTAATGCAATTACACTCACCTCGGGAATTGGCTATGAAAATGCTCTTATCACACATCTGTCACCTGTCTGTCAGCCCGTGCAAAAGATAACTTTTCTGCACTTATTTAACGTTTGTCTGTCTGGGTTATGGTTGAAGTTAATTATTATTGTCGATTTAACTGGCGTGGATAAACGCGCACAACTAACCCCCAATCGATTGCCATCTTTTTTTTTTCAACAATGTTTCATTTTTATTTACTTGCAGTGTCGATTTACAATTGATAAACAAAAGAAAAAGAAAAAGAAAAAGTAAAAAGTATAAGAAAAACATATGCAGCAGGGCAACTTGTTGCGCTTACCCAATACATACGCATAACTCTAAGGCAGCTATCAACATCAACACATACATATACACATACAGCTGTGTGTGTGTGTAGAAAGAACAAAATTTTAGTTTAAGCAAAAAGGTAAAACAATTCGTTGCGTGTGCTCCATGTGCTAATTAGCTGTTTATTTGCTCAGATACTAAGCGAACGATTACTTTGCTAAACGGTCGTGTGTAGTTAATTTTAAGACCCTTGGACTTTGCAACAACAGTAACTGTAAATATATATATATGTATATGTATATATGTGAGACTGTAGTCGGGTACATTAATGTCCAATGAAGTTCTAAGCCCTAATATAAACGTTTCTTTTGCCTGACCTTTTGCAGTGTGTGCTTTGCCCTCGGGCAGCAGCGGCAGCGATCATGCTGCAAAATCCGTTACCGAGGCGCCCCATTAGATGGAGTCGCCCTCCCTCCAACCCGCTAGCACCCGGAATCGAAGTCAACGAACAGCACCTGTATGGCAATTTCTTATGGAGGACTTGCTGCTGCCTTCTTCGTATTGGCCTTAAGCGCAACAATTATATTTAACACAATGAAAACTGTGTCTAAAGCAGAAAAAAAAATAACATAAAACATGTAAAACACTTAACTGATTGTTATATATATACTTTTTAATCCTAAATGTTAAAAAATTCAACATTTTCACATATGTATTGTAACAAATTGATGTAACAACAACAACAGGCACAACGCACAGCTGTGTGTATGTGTGTGTGTGTGCGAGTGAGTGAGGTTTTCCTTATGCATAAAGCAGTCGCTTACTCCGGCACAAATTGAATGTTAACTGTTTCCGTATTTAGTTCAGCTAAGATTACACGCACTTGGCACATGTATTAGAAAATAGTTTGTAACTTAAAGCCACACAACACAACACGCACGCACGCACACAAACACATTTTTTATATGGCTACTATATATGTTTATGGATATATATCTGTATAGATCTATTATACACTTATACACATAAATTTATATATATATTTATATATTTTGTAATTACACCTCTATATGAAATGGCATGTATTTGATATAATTTCGTGGCGAACGTGCGACATAAATTTGCTTGAATGAATCGCGAACATTTTGTGCAGATTGATGTGAAATAGTATTATTTACATATTTATCTACGAACTTTCTGCTACAAATTTTATTCTGTCGCTGCGCTGAAAACTTTTTTTTTGCTATCGATTTTAAGCCACGAAAAACTACGACAAGGACGAAGGCCCAAACACTGAATGGCGAATGAATACGAGCACGAGAAAAGTCGATTACAAACTGGCTTCAAACTGGAGCACAAATCAGGAACACGAGGAAGATCTGCTAATGACTCGTCCTCTGCAACAGCAGCAGCAGCAGGCAACAAAAAGTTCCCAATTTGCATTTGCAATGTTCCCGAACTAAATGTTATGGAGGCAAAGTTTATGTCGCGTGTGTGTGTGCGTGCAACAGCTGTTGTTGAGCACTCATAGGCGCATGCGCTACATGGAAATGGCAACACTGCCAGCCAGGCGACTGGACGCTACCTGAACGATAAGTGCGTTTTGATCAAATCGATGCCAGCTGCTGTCGTCCACACGTAGCTCATGTACAGGGCAAAGATGTTCAAATAATATAGCTGACCGATGAGTATGTGATCGGCGATGTCCTCCGACTGATAAAATTTCGGCTTTCGTATCGAGGCAGCAAATACAATAACAAACTGCAACAGAGGCGAGGCTTGAGCTAAACGAACGTTTTTTCGATATTCCAAATAACACTATGGCAAAAAAGCTCTCAGTTGTATCGAGCTTCAAAGCTAAAGCTCTTTAAATTCAAGTTATTTTATGTAGGACAAGTTTGACTTAAGTTAAAGCTTGATTTTAAGTACGAGATTAGCTTAAAGTCTAATTGTGATGCGAGCCTCGCGGAGCTAGAGTTTATAACTTAAAGCTTGGTTGAGCTTTAAGTAAAAAAAGCTTTAAATGCGTGTGAAGTTGAACTTGTTCTTGACAAATTATCCTATAGCTTTAAGTGATATCGATGTAAATTTGATAAAAGAGCTTTCAGTTCATAAAGCTTTACGTACGCGAAGCTGTGAGATACATCAAAGCTTTAAATTGAAATCCTTTAAGTGATATTTGCTTAAAGCTTGACTGCTACTTTAACAGTTTGCTCAACGTGATATATATAGATTTTTAAGAAGCTAAACTAGAGAGCTTTCAATTCAAACTTTCTTCGAGTGCCTCTAGTGTTATTTGGTAGGAAGTAACGGCACTTACAATATTTGACATGACAGTGTAAATGAAGAGCGCCGGAAACTCGATCGATATATGCTTCATCTCTGCACAGACGATGATGCCAAAGCACGTCAGCACATACATACGCTCACTCCAGCGTATCACATTGTGGCGTGACACCTGTGAAAGGGGGCAGAAGTCAAGCAATAGAATGATCTAAAAGAACACTTGGAATTCACTACGAAGAGTCCACGTTGATGGGCTACAGCGCAGTTGCCATAGATGAAACTAATGGCCATGACAACGAAGGTAAGCGCCCAGGATACGACCAGGGAAATAAATGGAGCTGTCTTAGCGGGCTTCATTATTGAAATGGTATTCACCTCGTACTATAGAAAGGGAGACACAGGAATATAAAGAGTATCCCCACAACTCACTCTCTTGGCTTACCGTCCAGATTCCGACAAATAAACGTATCCATTTCGATTTGCGCTCGAGCATGCTATAAAAGAACACATACAGCTGTATCGATATGAAGCTGACAAAGAAATTCATCAAGCTGACGTAGTAATGCTTGGTGAGAAACCGCTTGAGGGATTCGCTGCGGAACGCATAACATGGAATTAAGATCAACATATATATATAAATGAATTCAGCTCTCTCTCTCGCTCACATCTCCATTATGGCCACGACCTGAACCTGGCCGAACAATAGCATTAATATCGTCACAACATACGTTTGTTTCAGCTTCGTTCTCGCAGTCTGCTGCTCTGGAGTATCTGCGATTTCCATTTGTGGCACGTATTTTTGTACTTAAGCAACTTTTTAATTTGTATAAAGAGTATTAGTGCAAGCAACAAATAGAAAATATAAACAGATTAGACGACGCCAACTCTGACGATGCCTAGATGAAATTGCAGTTGGGAGTGCCCGACTACGAGATACCGTGACTTTGCTTTACTTTGTAGTTAATTGCTTAACAATGCCAGGAGTCAAGCCAGCGACCTCTTGGCAACTGAACTGACTTTGGCGGGAGTCGAACCTGCAGCCTCTTGACAACAAAACTGACTTTGCCTAAAGTCGAACCTGCGTTCCCCTGACAAAAATGCATCTCATTCAATCGCAAAGCGTCGCAACTTTGAGTGATCCAATTTCTGCTTCTCTAACTTACAAGTTAATTATCTATATATTCTATTAAATATGTGGCTCATTTACATTTAGTCTATATTTGCAAGTGAATTTTAAGAATATTTTAAAAATCTAAAAAAAACCAAAATTGTATACGGAATACATAAAACTAGCTGCAAAATTTAAAGACTCTAGCTAAAAGATATAATTTAATAACCGAAGTTCGATAAGGTCTTTAATCGATTGTTATCGATTATTTGAAACAAACTAGACCATTTATAAATTTAGACAACTCAAGAGCCAAAGATCAAAGCTGGACCTGACCAAGAATATTCATGGTCTGCAGTTGCACTTAGGCATTTCCCATAGATATGCATACCTTTATGATATTATAGAACCCTTGTCAATATTTCAAAACAAGTTGGCATTTAATACTCAGCTCTCTCTCTCTCTCCGAGCAGGTTTGCCCTTTCTCGAACTGAAATCAAAAATGCTTTGATCCTTGTGCTATTGAGCATTTAAATTACTAATAATATTCCTAATATCTTTTTTTAGTAACATTTTTTTTACATAAATTCTTCGTATATGTCTAAGAGAGGATAGGAAGCAATTTCAAGAAATGGGGGATGACGCTGGAAGTGAACATAGTCGACGGAAGTTCGTCGCAATCGTTTATCTGATGACTCTGCTTGTGCTACTGGTGGCGCTTGGCCAATGGCTGGCCGTTAGTTTTGTGTAAGTGGAATGAAATAATCCATAGATATGAATATATATATATATAAATATATCGGTTTTGGTCTGTCCATTGTCCAGTGACGCGCTCTGCGATGTGTTTAGAGAATTCGAATTTATCAGCGGCATCTTCTTCACGCTGTCGGTGATATTAGTCCTGATCTTCATATTTTTGGAGAAGGTTCGCGTTATGATCGCTGTGAATTGGATATTGGCGATATTAATTGTGAGTGCATTTCTAGATTTCTATATATATTTATATATATGCACATGATGCCATTGATTGTATAATCCATTAGCTTGAATTCGCCATACTGGGGATATTTGCTCTGGCTGCGCGGACCAGCTGGCCAGAGCTGGTCCTTTGGTTTTTGATATGTGTCCTTTTATTATTCATTGCTATACTCGTAGGCTCGATCCTACCGGTAAGTGGCAAGCTCAGACGGCCAACCAGCTAAGCCTCACAAACCTCTTCCCTCCTCAGCATGACCTGACTCTGGATGTAGTTATATTATTTGTAATATCATTTATATTCCTGATTGTTTCCGTATTTTTGGTGATGTTGCATCTAATGACACTTACAGCCCATTCGATTATCTTGCACCAGCTGTTCGTGAGCATTATTATTCTGACGGTAAGTGTTCAATAACGTTTATATTTTGCTATCATTCTTTCTCTTTCTCTACTCCCTCTTACTTCCAGTTTGTCATGTACCACGCTCAGACAATAAACGGAGGACGCTTTGCGGAACTGAGAGTAAACGATTATCTACTGGCAGTCATCATACTCTTCTACGATTTCATTGTGATATTCTTGTTAACATTTTACGCGCAAGTCCATTATCCGATAGTTAATCTGAACCCCCAGACGACTACGGAAGCCCCAGGAACGACAACTCCAGCAGGGGAGCCACCAGCAGATGCTCGCGCCGCCTTCCGCATCTTCTAACAATGCTCTCAGCGTTGAAATTCACTTTGCTTTCCAAATATTCCATATAGTTTACCGTACCGATTGTATTCAATTTAATAATCTGTAAAATAATTGAGCTCATTTATTAAACATTCAGTAACGACCCAACTCGCAATGTTCGATTATTTTTATCCTTGTGCATTATGAATATGGATATGAATATGAATAAAAAATGTGATTGTGAATGTGAATGTGAATGTGAATGTGTATATGAATATAAATATGAATATGAATATGAATATGAATATGAATAAAAAAATGTGAATGTGAATGTGAATGTGAATATGAATATGAATATGAATATGAATAATATATGAATAAAAAAAATGTGAATGTGAATGTGAATGTAAGTGTGAATGTGAATGTGAATGTGAATGTGAATGTGAATATGAATATGAATATGAATATGAATAAAAAAATGTGAATGTGAATGTGAATATGAATATGAATATGAATATGAATATGAATATGAATATGAATATGAATATGAATATGGATATGAATATGAATAAAAAATGTGATTGTGAATGTGAATGTGAATGTGAATGTGAATGTGAATGTGTATATGAATATAAATATGAATATGAATATGCATATGAATATGAATATGAATAAAAAAATGTGAATGTGAATGTGAATGTGAATATGAATATGAATATGAATATGAATAATATATGAATAAAAAAATGTGAATGTGAATGTGAATGTGAATGTGAATGTGAATATGAATAAAAAAATGTGAATGTGAATATGAATATGAATATGAATATGAATATGAATAAAAAAACTGAATGTGAATGTGAATGTGAATGTGTATATGAATATAAATATGAATATGAATATGAATAAAAAAATGTGAATGTGAATGTGAATGTGAATATGAATATGAATATGAATATGAAAAAAAAAATGTGAAAGTGAATGTGAATGTGAATGTGAATATGAATATGAATATGAATAAAAAAATGTGAATGAATGAAAATGTGAAAATGTGATTATGAATATGAATATGAATATGAATAAAAAAAATGTGAATGTGAATGTGAATGTGAATATGAATATGAATATGAATATAAATAAGAATATGAATATGAATATGAATATGAATAAAAAAATGTGAATGTGAATGTGAATGTGAATATGAATATGAATATGAATATGAATAAAAAAATGTGAATGTGAATGTGAATGTGAATATGAATATGAATATGAATATGAATATGAATATGAATATGGATATGAATATGAATATGAATATGAATATGAATATGAATAAAAAAATGTGAATGTGAATGTGAATATGAATATGAATATGAATATGAATATGAAAAAAAAAAAGTGAAAGTGAATGTGAATGTGAATGTGAATATGAATATGAATATGAATAAAAAAATGTGAATGAATGAAAATGTGAAAATGTGATTATGAATATGAATATGAATATGAATAAAAAAAATGTGAATGTGAATGTGAATATGAATATGAATATGAATATAAATAAGAATATGAATATGAATATGAATATGAATAAAAAAAATGTGAATGTGAATGTGAATGTGAATATGAATATGAATATGAATATGAATAAAAAAATGTGAATGAATGAAAATGTGAAAATGTGATTATGAATATGAATATGAATATGAATAAAAAAAATGTGAATGTGAATGTGAATATGAATATGAATATGAATATAAATAAGAATATGAATATGAATATGAATATGAATAAAAAAATGTGAATGTGAATGTGAATGTGAATATGAATATGAATATGAATATGAATATGAATATGAATATGGATATGAATATGAATATGAATATGAATATGAATATGAATAAAAAAAATGTGAATGTGAATGTGAATATGAATATGAATATGAATATGAATATGAATATGAATATGAATGTGAATGTGAATGTGAATACGAATATGCATATGAATTTAAAAGTGAAAATAAAAATGAAAATGAATATAAATATAAATATGAATATGAATATGAATATATATGAATGTGAGTTGAATTTATCAGTCCATGAATAAAGGATTGATATCTATCAATTTTTGATTGTTTTCAAGGTAAGCTATAAATAAATAGTAATTTGTAGTAAATTTTTGAGCTGGTTAGCAAAAAGATACAAAATGTATCTTCGAGATACAAAATCTGAAATTCTTAGACATTTTTTTTGTTTAACTTTAACGCTGAAATTTAATCACATTGAGGAGTAAAATAAATGTACAGATATCGCATATAGAACATCGAATATATATAGCAAGAGAGCGCGAAGTGTTATATAGGAATATATGTATATATATATATATAGTTAGTATGGGCTAATATTGAATTTAGATTTGCAACATTTCACAATACATTTATAATACATGGGACTACATTTGGGCCGCTCTCGATAGATACAGTTACATGTATTTATATATAGACGCGAATTGGTACGATAGGTAACATTATTGATTGCACAGCAGTGAAGGATCGTTCATTCGAATACGAGTAGATATTATATATATATATATATATATTAAGAGGTGTGTGTGTGTATATATAGCATTTATATTATAGGGACTCCAGCGATGAGGCAGCTGAGCAAATTGTTGCATCCGAGTCACTGAATCTGGATGCGCCCAATGCGGAATGTAGCGGCTGCGACTGCGATGCAAAGGAGCCGAGCAGCGGGGAGGCCAGATCGTTGAGGCTGCTGAGGCGACTGAGCGTGGGCGTGACGGCGGCAGCCAGGCTGAGGCTGCTGCTGTCCGTGGATGAGGCGTCCGGCGAGCGCGACGACGAGCTGCCATAGCGTTCCAGCAGCAGCTGGCTAAACGTCAGCGCCGGCCAGTCGTTGTTCTCGCCGCCCGGCTCCGTCGGCGTCGTAATGGGCGTGGGCATATGGTTGATGCTGCTGGTAAAGGAACTGTTGTCGATGAGACTGCTGACGGGCTCCAGAAAGCGCTTGCCATGATACATATGACAGGCGCCGTCCACGATGAGCCCAAGCGGCTGGCCACACTGCGGCGTGTACAAGGCAATGGGACGAAAGTGATTGGCGGGCGTGGCATTGTGATTGTGATTGTAGTTGTGGCTATAGCTGCTGGACTGGCTTGTTGGATGGTTGCCGCTTTGGTGGCTGCCGCTACGCTGGCACAGCTCCAGCAGCTCAGTTTCTGGACGAGAATGGCAAAAGATCAATAACAAGAAATTGAAGTAGAAGACGGCACATTCGATTGGCTTATCAAGCAAAGCGAGCACTGGCACTGGCACTGGCAATAGCACTAAACTGGCGACTACGCTACCTGCGCTTCATACCTTCCGCGGCGGACTCCTCGTTGTCCACATCCTCGCGTATGCTCGCCTGCCCGGCCAGCTGTGCGGCCTGGCCACTCTGGCCGGCGTCGTTGGCCTCGTCGCAATTGTTGGCGTCCAGCGTGGTGCGCACCACGGCCACATCCATGTGGGAGTCCAGCGAGAACTGCTTGCCGGACATGAGTATGCCGCGCACGCGACGACGCGTCGACGGTGATTCCTGATGCTGTAAGACTTTGAAGCTTAGGCAAGGCACGTTAAGTGGCGCCGGCATCGAACTTACCGCTATGCGTATGCCCGCATAGGTCTTGGCCAGAAATTCATCAGCATCGAAGATGGCCGCAAAGGAGCCATTGACGACCTTCGGCGACAGCGGCGAGTTCGACAGCAACAGGCTGGAGCCAAATGCTTCGCTCTTCTCTTTGGTGTCTAAGAGTTGAGAGAGTTAAGTTGAATAAGCTAAGAGTTTATGGAATAATTTTATGAAAATTGCTAATTTTAAGTTTAGCTTGAGCGGCACAGAACGAAATTTACTGCAAAAAGCTATTCACAGTTTCCTAAGAGTTGTAGTTTGACTTGTAGATACTTTTGTATCTTACAGATACATTTGAGCATTGCAGTTAATTGATTAGTTTAGCAAGCTTTATATATTTATGCACGCATATATCTGTTAGATAAGCTTTAGTTTCTAATAGTTGTGTATCTTTAAAATACTTTTAAGCCTTAGATTTCACAGATACGTAACTTGAAAATCCAACTGTGGCTTTCAAAATCAGCTTTAACTTTTTTTAATGTTTCTTTACTGTGCACTTGAAATGCTATTTAACTTTTAGATACTTTTGTATCTTATAGATGGATTTGTTTACAGAAAATAATCTAAACAGACAAATTTTCTAATCTAATATTTTAATGCAGCTGCATTTAAGCTAAAGATACTTTTATATCTTTAAAAACTTAACAAAACTATTTCAACTGAGAGATTATTCAAAAAAGTAACTTTAAGCTCATATTTCTTTATAAAGATACTCTTTAACTTCACTATATAAACAGCTAATTCTTAAGGCTTCTGTATGCTTTTCTAGATACTTTTTTAACTTAGCTAGAAATATCTATAACTGAAACTGTCTTATATGTATACAATCGATCTATCTCAATAATATTTCTATCTGTCAGATACTTTCTTAATAAGTAACTAATTGCATAGATACTTTTCTATATATAATCCATATTTGGCAGAACTTTTCGAGCTGTCTTACTTACACACACAGAGATACTTTTGTATCTTCAACTCATGAAAGCTACATTGCGTATCTTTAGTACCCGCTGCAAGCAAAATAAAATACTGCGTCTTGGGTGGATCAAAGTGTTTTATGCTAAACACAACAAACAAACAATTCAAAGCAACAAGCAAACACAATAAACATAAAACAAAACGAAAAACAAAAACAAATGAAAAGCAGAACGAAACGAAGGTGGGAAGGGCGCAGGTGTCAGTAGTTTGGCAGTGCCCAGTGTTTACCCTTGAGATAGACGCGATTCGAAATGGTGATGTTCATCTCGTCGAGCACCAGCGAGGCCACCTGCTTGATCTCCATCCAATCCTTGACAATGTCATCCAGCGTCGTGTGCGTCGAGGTGATCGTGAAGCGTATGACATACTGGCCCTTCAGCGAGGACGGCACGCAGTGCTGGTTGCCGCGATAGTTGAGGCGCTTGAGCAGCCGTTCGGTGATCTCGTTCTCGCCGCGTATGCGAAAGACGACCAGGCCCAGATGCCGCTTGGCCGGCAG